AGATTGAACTCAAAGATCAATTGTAAACTTGTGGACTTGATTCAATTAACTTAAGTAAATTCAAATCTAAATAAATATGAGCTCTAAATGAACTTGAATATTAGAAGAAAAGATAACTAGAAATGATTCAACTTGTATTCAAATGAAATAAATACAAGCTTGATTTAGACTTGAATATGAGCCACAATGACATTAAGTTCGAACTTGGATTAAAGTTTGAACTTGACAGAGAACTCAAACTTGAATCACATGCAAAATGATGAACTTCTAAGTTGAGTGCAAGTAGAACGAGTTTCCAATATGACATGCTTTCAATCAATGACATAAAATCTTCTTTGAAAATTTAGAGATTGTCACTTCAATTGGATGACAAATACTAATGACCAATGGTGCCAAGCTCATCATATATGTTGCAATCTATTTTGCAAGTATAATTTGACTTCCAAATAACGAAAGATTTCTAAAATTTGGCTTAATCATAAAGCTATGGTATGTGATAGTCCTCTTGCAATGGTGGACATGATAGATCCTTAAGCAACAACCAAGGTATTGTAAGAAATGTGACGATCTACCTATGAGTTACAATGCAAAATATTTAATAAACGTTGAGGAATTGTCATTTCATTGGAATGTAAACGTCATCAAGTAAACTCTTCATACAAGATTTGAGTCATCTTCCTATGTTGTGGGAGACTTACAATATTCAAAATGGCCCATTTACATGCAACAACCAAAGGATCAATGATAAATAATTTTGCGTACCACTCGCTTGCAAGCGACGAGTAATGAAAATTATGAAGAACTTATGTTGATTTGTTATCTTAATCATAAACAACAATCAATATGAATGTAGCAAATAAAGGAGAAAAGAAATATGCAAGTTTTACATGTATGAGCTCGTATACTGAATCCTTACAAGCAATAAAGCTGAAAGAGACACTTTGGAAAGAAGAATGAAGAGCATGCGATAAGTAAAAACATACTTTGGTAAGAGTGATGTGATTACAAAACACATAAACTCCTGCAGGTCACTATTTAGGACCCATTACACAATCAGTAAGGTGTAGTTTGAGAGCAATCATAAAAGAACTACAGAGAATACAAACTCTCACAAGATATTGTAGGAGGTCTTTCATGTACTTAGTATATTATTTACAAGTAAAATTCTAAGTGACTGCATCAAATGCAAATTTCTACGGGTTGTCGTATAAGACTTTCTTTTTGAATATTATAAAATACCCCTGCACATGCACAGTAGCTTGTATACACATAGGTACACTAAAAGAGGTATACAATTAAGAACCCGCATGGGCGCCGGCGAGCGTGTTATTAGCACACACGTGACGTCTAGGGATGCTGCGCGGGTTATTAAATATGAACCCGATTCTTCTAAGCAAGTAGGAGTCGACAAGGTTCAATAAATAATTACGAAATGCCCCCAAACACCCGCATGGGCCTCGGCGAGCGTGTTATTGGTACACACGTGACATCTAGGGAAGCTGCGCGGGTCAATAAGTGAATTCAAGTTCGAACCTGATCCTTCTATACGGGACAATAGAAGTCGACAGGGTTCGAACCATCAAATAAATATATGATTGTGGCGACCAGTATATTTATTTTAATACATTTATATTAGGCCTTCAAGACCTATAATCAAAAGAATTCACTAAATAAATGCATAAAGCCTACGAGAACCCGATTCTCGATCTATAGCTTGATCGAGTTGACAAGGTTTAATCCATAAAGAAAAATGACCCCGGACACCCCGATGATAGCCGTGTTGAATGCAGATATCAACCAGAGGGGTTTCCAAATACTTTCAAGTGTCTCCCAAAAGTCAATTTCAAATACTTCAAAGCTCCAACCAAAATTCCAGAAAATTCTAAAAAATCTCAAAATCCCAAAAATATTTAAAATGAAATAAATCCATCAACCCACTTAAAGCAAAATTCATCCACTCAGCAATAGTTTTCCGGGATGGACAAATGAAATTTACTTCATCTCACAAAGAGTCAAATGCCTAGTTGAAAATATCACTATGATCCATTCTCAAACAATTTCATGCCAGTAAGGATGTGGTACATGTCCTATAACCGGTAGTTTTGCCACCAAATGGCACTGCAGGTAAACGGTTATGACCCGGGGCCCTCTGAACCGAGTGGTTTTGCCGCCAAATGACACCACGAAATATCGGTTATGACCGGCGCCATTACGTTCTTTATTGGCATCAAATCCTTGAGATATGAATAAATATGATATGATTAATAGAGCACAAAGCCCTCTGTTAGCTAAGGTGGATTCAAATTTGTTCCCTTAGGCAAATATACATCCCAGGTCTACAAGGTTCTCTTGGATGAAGCAACACATGGCTGCCGACAAGGATCCTTCTATCAGGTTGGGTCGACTACCTCCTCTGACTAAGTAGACCAGGGACCATGATGGCCCGGGACGACGGAACCATGGGATCTTGATCGGGTCTATCATCCATTCCCCCACCATCCGCTTTAAGTGCAAGATGGTGCAATCTTCAATTTTAAATATCGAATTTCCCAATTTCCCAAACTTGCAACAATTTCCAAATCTCAATACCCATGCTACTACTATATGCCAGATAACACGTATCATCTACATATCTGATTGACAACTAGCCTTAATCGAAAGTTCTCTCTCATGATCGGTAGGGGTAATTAACTATAGGGGCTTGCGCCTATAGGAAAATAGAACTCAGATCATAAAGTCCTTGCATAATGAGGGCGAAATCTCTGGGTAGTGTCTTATCTACAAATCCATCTGCCTTCAAAAAATTACCTCGGAACTTATTCAGTTAAAACTCCCTCGCCGAATAAAAAGAAAAGCGGGGAGGCCGGGGCCGAAATTTCGAAGCCCACAGGTATGTTGCGAGTGGTTTGAAGGGATGGATGATATTGATCCCCTCGATCATGAACCATTTGCTAGACATTTGAATGTCTTAATTATATAATTTAGATGTTAATTATCAAATTGTATATAATATCATTAATTAACTAATTATCAAATAATCATGTATACTATATTCAAAATAAATTAATTTTAATTTCTAAATGAAAGAACCACCTTAAATTTTGAATTACGTTGCCAAATAGTTTCTTAGGATTTATCAAGATTTAATATTTATCATACCAAACAGTTTTCAGGATTTAACACCCTTAGGATTTACTAAATCCCGCTAAAGTTAAATCCAATCCAATACTACCAATCAGCCCCTAAATGTGAGTTTCAAAACAAAAAATCTTAAAATAAGTAAATAAATAAATAAATAAATAAAAATAACACTTTGATGATATAGATTATTAGGGCAGTTGAAATCGGGTCACTCGACACAAGTTAACCTGTACCCAACTCGCGCAGGTTACATGGTTGAACCAACCCGACCCACAAACCTTTTTTGAGCTGTTGAGGTATTAATCCATGAGTGGACGGACGGCGAGCTCCCTCCTCTCATCATCGTTGCTTTTGATCCAACTACAAAAGCAAAACGGCGAGCTCCCTGCCGTCATTGCAATTGAATCAAAGTATGGATCTACACCATGATATTCCCTCAGATGTGTAACTTAATAAGAGGAGAATATGAGAAATAGAGGAAAAGCAAGCAAACAACTGATCAACATCAGCCTAATCAGAGAAGACTACACTACAACATAAACAGGTCTGATCCTATGGCCATTAATGGATATCATCTATTGGTAAGGTATAGCTTGTTCAATAATACAACATGAAATAAAGATTCATTAGTTTCATAAGATGGCATGGACATTGTCCCAAAATTCAACTTTTTTTTAATGCTGACTCCTTGAAATTTTTCTTGAGTGAAGATTATAAGTATAAGCTGCTTCCCTTTTGTCCATTGGATGGAAGCATTTAAGCAATTAGCATATGACAGTAGCGTATTCTGAGCGTTACATGGCCTGGCCATCGATAACCAACCAGTGGAGAGCATTCGAATAGGCATTTATTATATATATATATATATATATATATATTATATATATTGTATTGGACCGGCAAAAAGTTTAAATTTTTTTTGAGATTTGTTTTATTAATTGAGAAATTAGAACGTCCAATGGAGCATTTTATACTTAAAAAAATATTTATATGTTATCAATTAGAAGAGCCCAAAATTAGATATATATTAATTCAGAAATTAAATATTTTATATTATATAGATTTCAAATTTAAAAGGATGAGACATGAAAAGAGTCACGCTCACGTCTTATTGATTTCCACCATTATTATTTCTAATTATTGTTAGTCGGATACATCTTGGAAGTTTGATTGTTATTAGTAAGAATCTTACCTACCATTTTAAGGATAGGCTACGAAATGTTAATTTAGGGTCCGCGTTGATTTCACATATGATAATCTATAATTTCATTTGTAAATTTTTCCCTTCTTAAAAAAAAAAAAATTTGCCATAAAATATTATTTTTTACAGCAAAAATGCTTAAATTATTTTTCTTATAATTAATTTATAAAATATGATATTCATCTCAAACAAAATCTTAACCTCCTTACTTTTTTCCTATAAAATAGAACTTATATTATATTTTTAATTTGATCAAGTCCTCATGGCATTTGTTGATTGTATACCTTTGAATGAATTAAAATTGCCAAATGATTAAGAGATTCGATGAGATCAGGGTAAAATTTCATGTCCAATTTTAGCAAAATAGATGCATAAGTAGATGCAATTAATTTGATTACTATTATTTAAATATTAATTAAAGTTTTATTTGGAATAATTTTTTTATTAGTTTATAAAGCATTTTTCTAGTAAAAAATTTTAAAATTCAAAATAATTGAAAAGATAATCCAAACTAAGCTAAAATTTCATAAATACATGAAAAAGTTATCCCAAATGAATCCTAATTCTAATCATTAAGGTCAAAAAATACTATTATGACTGATTACAATTTTCTGACAATCTTATTTTACGTATATAATAATAATATGAATTTCATCAATTATAATACATTACAATCCCATTTTATACATAATAAATTAAAAGAATTCCTTTGTTATCCATCCAATAATTGTAAACAAATGACATTAGAGATATTTTGATCGATGTGCATAAGATCAATGGTGAAAGCAGAGAGGGAGGGAGCAGCTGAGTGGCTCTCATCACTTAAGGCTTCGTTTGAGATAATTTTTATAACTTTTTAAAACAATTTTTTAGTACAAAACTACTTATCCCAAAAGAAGCCTGGAAGAAAATTCTAGTAGAAGATTATTTGATTTGTCGGAGTTCGGCTGTGAGCAAGGCAAACTTTCGATGTTGTGATAAGATTGAATGAGTCATAACTTGCTTTATTCTTGAAGAAATGTCTACTTGTGCAGATGTTTTGTCTTTTGCTGCATGGAGAATTGTTTGGAAAATTTGAAGAGGATCACCATGGCTTACAAGTACAATGTTGCATCTGGAAAGAGAATATCACAGTTTATAGGATGCATATAAACTCTTTATAGTTATGCATAAAGTGAATATTTGGTAGTTATATTTTAAATGCTTAGAATATGATCCTTTGCCAAAGAAAAGTATATACCATTATCCATTTGAATATTAAGAATGGAAAGAAACATCTTAATAATACGAGAAAACTTTGTTAAAATGAAGGAAAAGTACCCTTGATATGCTGCCTCCAATGATGCCAAAGCAATTGAAAGTCGAGAACAAACATCTGCAACACTTTCTCCACCTTCAACTGATGTAAAAGGATCCTTCTCATCAAGGATCCATATCTCTGCATACTGCTAACCAATATTTATAAATTTGATATTTAATTGAAAGAGAATAAGGCAAATTATATTAGTATCATCTGCTGCAATGAATTCTTATACAGTTCCTGGATTTGCGAGGACGAACCCCACACGATGACTCATTAAACAAGTATTTAATGTCAGAGTGTGATCAAAGATAAGTTTCTCCAACCTCAGTTATCCTAAAATAATTAAACAAAAAGAAAAAGCGCATTTTAATGGATTATGTTGGAAAAACGAATATTTGGCGTCAAAAGTACTCTCAATCATATTTTCCTCCAATGGCAGTTTGTAGTTCTATGGATTGGGCTAATTTGTTATCTTTTTAAAATACCATGAAATGTGTTGCTCAGAGCTTAAACACACACATATATACATCCAAAATGTTGTGAACTATCTTGAAGTAGCAAATTTTTGAATTCCCAAATGATATTTACTGCAAACCCAAACTCAAACCATATTTATATATTTATGCATGCACGAATGACTTTTAAGTTGCAAAAGCATGCAGCTCTCAACATGCAAAAATAGGACATACGCATGATTTGTACCTCACTAGTGCCCACGTAATAGGGTGTACCTGGTGTATAAAGCTTCCACAAATACAAGGTCTGAGGTTGAGTTGAAGTATAGAGTCCTATCAATGCATTTGTAAATAGTCTATTTTGATCGTTAGAATTAGTGACTTCCATATTACGCTAGAGCCAACTTAACCATTGCTTTAGATTTGCCCTAACATTGGAGACAAAGTATATAAGAATATTGCCTTAATTGAAGGTTTGATTAAATCAAATTTTATTGGAACATTTGTATCTAACCCATCATTCTAGACTGACCATGCAATCTTGTCGCCTGAACTTGCCCCCAAGCTTGTATGAACATCCAAATATAGATCAACATGTGCCCCAAGCTTTGCCTCACTGTTTTGATAAGTATTCACACATCAAGTTGCTAGTTTTGTGATTTTTAGCTTTGTTTTTTTTACCTTGATAATGGTCCTTTAATCATTAAAAGTTTGCTGTTCAGAACATATACGAATATTCCTGGGTAGTCTCGCCTCAATTTCACTCAATCCTTAATGCTTGTGATGTACAAGACCCTATATATCTTTCAATGACACTTTATGCTTGAGAAAATTCATTATAAAGTCTCATCCCAATTTAGCCCAATCTTTTATACTTGGATGTACAAGATGTACCCATTATATATCTTTCAATAACACTTTGAGCTTTTGAAAATTCATTGTAACTCTAATTCTTACATTCATGCATAAAAAAAAATTCTTACATTCATGCATCTTCATAGCTTTGGTAAGTGGGTTGGAGAGAAGGCTAAGGAAATCGATAGTTTAGGTTTTAAACTTTGGTATTCGGGTAGGAGTCATACTAGAAATGGTGTAGGTGTCATTATAGATAAGGATAATGTTATAAAAATTAATAGGATTGGTGATAGAATTATAGCTTTAAAGATTGTTGTTGAGGATAAGATTGTTAATATTATAAGTGCTTATGCTCCTCAGGTAGGTTTGGATATAAGTTCTAAATTAAATTTTTGGAATGACTTAGAAGAATTAATACAAAATATACCTCTTGAAGAAAGAGTTTTTATTGGAGGAGATTTACAGTACCCAAAAAATAAGTTGTTATTTTCATCTTCAAAATTTAATTTTCACAAAACTCTATTAACACTATTGTCCTTAAAAATAAATTTGAGAGCAAAATAGCAGAATCTTCATATATATATCTATATATGGTTGTCCAAAAAAATAAATAATCTCCAATCAAAGATAAACATAAGATAAGCATATTTGCTCTTTCAAATATTTTTCCCACTTTTATCTTACTAATCGATGTAGAGTGAGGAATCAAAATTTTAAACATGGAGAAACATGCAAACCATAATGTGCATACCTTATCATGTGAAAGAAGCTCAAATAGTGGTCCAAAGAAACGTTCCCGAAGTTCTATCATTGCCTATTCAAATAGGATGTCTCCTCATCAGTATTATTAATAACTAACAAATTACAATTGAAACTATTGTGTAAAGCAAAGGGTACATATAAATATAAGATTTTATAAGGAAAACAAAGCAATCATATTCAAAACGGGTAAAATAAGCAATTTGATCCAGGTAGAATAAACAAATATAAACCCAATTTTAGGTTTAAAGGAGGAAGTAGTAGGTTCCCTAGAAAAAAATAACAACACATGGAAGAACTGGATGGGTCATTCATAAATTTTCAATTAAAATGTTCTTCTTCCTGTGGGTAATGGCATTGATGAAATAAGAAAGGTTTTATAGTAAAGTTTCCACTTCAAAATGAAGAGGATTGGCATATCTCTCTTGCTGTAATGCACTGTCCATATGCCACATTAAAAAAATAATTCCGGTATTGTTGAAATAAAAATCCAACAGCTCCCAAACGCACGCTGCGACAAAAAAAAACTATAATTTCAAGAAAACAAAATTCCAAAAACACCAATATACCTTACACTGGCAACTTTTAAATGAGATACCCAACACATCAGCAACTATTTTCGCTGTATGAGTAGTTCTTGAAAATGGAGAATAACATATTTGAACAGTTTCGATGGGGATATTTCTTGTCTTGAGTTCCTGCAATGAAAAAATAAAAAAAGTTGAAATCAAGTCAAATATAAAAAGCCCTCTTTAGTTTGAATATGTAGAGTAGCTGTGCAAGGGTATAGCTTGACAAAAACTAATAGTTTCCATTATTGAATAATATGAGCCATCACTGGAGCTCAACCTTCTGTGAATTCCTTTATCGATGATATTTTTTTGAGCCTAAACATGCCACTTCAAACTTTTGCAATAAATATTAGTCCGCTTCAATCATTCCATCCTACTCATACGGAGAACGCTTTTAAGTCTACTTGATTACATCAATACTCATTTTGTTTTGCTAAGCTGAAGGAGAATTCTTTAATCATATGTAGAGGAACTTCCGTGTAACTCCAAGAAAATAATCCAGATTCTCCCTACCTTGATTGATTCTTATTGGTTAAATCAAGTGCTGGGGAGTGAAAAAATAAGAAAGGAGATCATGAATTTTATATAAGTTCACCAAATTGATGATTACGCCATTACAGAAAATATTAAAATTTATTTTATTAGATTACAACCCTAATTTCTAAGACAAACATAAGATGGTGCCCCCTTTTATAAAGAAATCTAGGATAGCTAGGCTACAATAAAAATTTTAAAAATCCCTTAATAAACAACTGTAAATATGGGATACCTTTTATAGAGTATTCCATGAAAAAACCAAGAGATATCCCCCCTTCTCTCTCAACCCATGCAATGACTTTATCATGAAAATCAACTCTCGATTAAGTCCACATAGTCCATTTTCTTCATAAGACAAAAACTATGAGGGATTTAAAGTACCCCAAAACTTATGTTTTCCTTGCATTTAGAAGTCTCTCAAATTAGGTGATTTCCAAATCGTAGGTCGCACCTGCTTGTAATTCTTGCTTGTTGTCACTCACTCCATCACTTATTGCAACAAAAAATCAACCGCCAGCCTCTACCACTGCTTCCCTCCATCATTAGCTATTGATTGTGCCCCCCTTGTCTACCTTGCAATATATTGAAATGTTTCGTGAAAAATACAAAATATTTCAATACATCTAATGTGCATCTAACCAAATAACTTTTGCATTTAAGTTACTTTGCATTTCTAAAATACATGCATGTATTTAAAAATATTAACCAAAGAATCCAATTGATAAATTGTTTCAGAATATTTTGTACCATGTGTATGTAAGACAAGTCTGTTAAATTAGAACTATATGTTGTGGCCATTTGTTTACATTGCAAGCTATATGGAGTTATAAACAAAGGTAACATATATCATATGGCGTGGATGCCTAGGAAAAGAAGAGAAGAGTGTTTGTGTAATGGTCCACAGCCTTAAAAGATTGAGTTTTCCTGAGTTATTTTTACAATAAATTTTCCTTAATTTTTAGTTATTCCCAACAATGGCAATAGATATGATTATGATCCTTATTCATATGTTATTCAATGACAATAAGTATGCTTCCTCTCTAAATTACCAATCCTATCAAATTTCTAAACATGATTTTGAAACCCTTTCCTAAAACCGTACATGTACTAGAAGCAGGATTGATCAAAGCTAATGTTGTTTAGTAGAGCAGTTGATCCTCCACAAGTTATCTTAGAAAACAATACACAAAAAAAGGTGGGGACATCTGACAAGAAAATATAGGAAAGGAAAAAATAATGGAGAGGTTCAAATGGGTGGGGGAGAGAAAAGAGAGAGAGAGAGAGAGAGGGAGAGAGAAAGAGAGGATAAATAATAAAGATAATGGGCACAAGAGATAGGTAAAAAAAGAGTGCAAAAGGTAACAATACAAAATAATATTAATGAAGATTCAAGTTGGAGGAAAAGATAAACAATCTCTCAAAATTGTTAAGGAGAAGGTACTATCTATGAGTAGATGAATGACAACTTATGGTATAAAATAAAGGGTTGAATAAAACTAAGAAATAATCTACTCTTTTCTTATGAAAATGGTTAGAGCATATAAGTCACCTTCCATTATCATCTCCACCAAATGCTTTATCAATCAACAATGTTAGAGAATTGTCCCAATAGACATATCTAGTGTTGGCATAGGTATCATCTCATACAAGTAAGTTTTTGAATCATCAATTGAGTTTATGCAAAAAGTGTGATTAAATAAATAGCGAATATGGAAAAAAGATTTGAGAAAAAATCCAGATGAAATTTTATAAAAGGATTTGTATTAAGAGTGCATATTAAAGAGCAACCTAAATTTTAACCACCATGACTGTGCTGTATGATTTATATCAAGGTTTATGCTAACTAATGAAAAAATAAAATAGAAAACTTTGTACCTACATTCTCTTAGAAAAAAAAAAATTAACTAGTGACATGATACCATTAAACTATATTCTTTTTTAGGCCAACCAACTTGCATAGGTTGCAAGTCATATGAACTCATTAACACATGCAACACTTAGACTATGCTATGCAAGTTATTGTCCATTGTAGTCTAATTCTTCACATGCCAAACTAAACCTCATGATTTCACTGTATAACTTCCTAAGGGTCACTCATTTCAAGAGCCCTCCATTACAAGTAGGCATAATTGTGGAGTTCCTAAGAGAAATTCACAAATGAAACTAAAAGGCAGCTTGCTTATTATAACATAACTCTTTACTTATATAGCCCAATATCTATCCTCCCCATTTGATGTGACACTTGGTTTATTCATGCCCTTCCCTTTTAAGAAAGCTCCCCTCACCAATAGCGGATCCAAGGGGGAGCCAGCAGGCACGTGCCCCCAGTCAAAAAAAAAAAAGTTTGACCATATGAGAAAGCAATCATAGGGACTTCTTGGCATGCATGAAAACTATTGTATCGTTATGGCCATCAGTGAATAAAGCATGTTATCGTGTATATTACTACCCATCGAGGTGTGTTGGCGACAGCCTCTATCCTCAATGGTTAGTCGTATGCACGATTCAATCTGTCCATTCCAATTGACCCGTTCGCGCGGTGTTCTTTTCGGAGGTCCACAGCCCATCCACCAACCGTGAATTCTGTAAAATGACTTTCGTTAATTAACTAATTTTTTTAAATGTAGAGATGAGCAATGACCTAGTTCTTCTCTTAATCATTAATCCAATCATGTTTCAAATCATGCATTTAGAAAAATCAACTACAATTACGAAAAATTCTGGAGTAATACAGAGAAATTTAACAAATTCTTTCTAAGTATGAAGATACATATATGATGAAGAGAAATATTGAGACATTCATGTAATATATCGAGCACACTTTCATCAATCAAATGAAGAGTTAATGCGAATAATTGAATCCCACATTTTTTGTGACATAACATCTTGGACGTTGAAGGAGAATAGCAACCTTATTTTTCTCAAGTTAAGTGACCAATTTTCACTTGAAATGATACCTTATCTAACAATTTGCCAGCCAAATTTGCTTGATGTATACCCTCAGGAGCAAGTCCAAACTCTTCGAGTGTGCCATTTGCCTGCAAATGCTTGCATATTCTTTTGAATATCTTGGAAACATGAAATATGTTCAAATTAACTGCATTTATTTTGCACAAAATTTAAGAAGAAAAAAATAAATTGATTTAATATAAGCGCAGGATTCTGCAGCACATCAAATACAGAAAAAATTGTAAGATTCGACATGTTATAGTTATTTTGCATCCATTTTGCAGCAAATTAATAAAATGGTAAACCAAACCATATGATTTTCTTTATCCCTAAGAAATTGGCCCCAACCAAGATTTATGCCACGAATTGAAAAAAATAAAATCTATGATGTAACTGTTAAAAATAAAAAATAAAAAAAACTTCGCGGACAATACTCTGAACAAGTCGGAAGAAAATTTATGTATTAAAAATAAACTGTGCTCTGATCGACTTCCTTAATCGGGCAGTTTTACCAATGATTTGATATCCCATGATCACTAATCATCTCTAATCATGATTAGCCCCCAAATATGAGTTGTTTCCTCTTTTTAATCCAAGGAAGACAGAGAGAGAGAAAGAGATAGAGATTTACCATTGATGAGACAATAAGACCATTCTCGTTAGGGATGCTCTTGCCGTGCCTCAGAATCCAATAACTATTGCGAAGAAACGGCAACGTCTCTGCCATTTCTCCTCCCGGATTGGAGAACAAGAATAAGGGAAACAATAATGGGGCTGTTTGGATGCAGGATTTAGGCCGGATTTGAGGTGAGGCTGATTTGAGCTAAATCCCGCCAAGCGGCTAAAAAAGCAGAATCAAATCTCACGATCAATGGAAGCAGCAGTTGACGAAATAATGCCTCTTTTTTGGTAAATCCCGGATTTTCGAAATCCTTCGGTTTGGCGGATTTAAGGGATTTGGCTGAAGAAGCGCGCGAAAGGGAGAAAGTTACCTTCACTGCGAGCGAGCTCCCGTCGTTGCTTCCGAACAAAATGTCGTAACTTCCGATCCAGCAGGAAGGAATGTCGTGGAAGGAGCGAAGTCGAACGACAAAGGCGCCGAAGAATCGTCGAAGTAACGAAGCCGAACGACAACGACGAAATAGAGCAGGAAAAGCAAACCCTAGACGCCTCTTAGTTATTGTTGGTTAACTTAATTAATATAATTTAAAATATTAATAATTAAGTAAAACTAATTTAATAATACTTAAATAATTAATTAAAATTTTAATAGAATTATTAGTTAAATATTTCGTTAAAATAATTAATATGATCAATATATAATAAATAATAATTAAATAATTAATTAGTATTAACAAAACTTAGATGTATTTCATATGAACTTAGTATTAGAACATTAGAATTTTAATTAGTATTAAAAAAACTTTAATTAGTGGATATATTCTTAAAGATAGGATACGAAGTGAGCATATATATGAAAAGGTTAGAGTAGCTCCAATGACAGATAAGATTAGAGGGTCGCCTTAGATGGTTTGGTCATATAAAATGACGGCCTCTTTTCATGACCTAGTTAAGAGAGTACAACAACAACAACAACATCAAGCCTTTATCCCACTACGTGGGGTCGGCTACATGAATCCTTTTTCTCCATTGTGTTCTATTAAAAGTCACTAGCTACATGACCTAGTTAAGAGAGTAGATAAATTAAATTTGACTTATGTTAAGAAAGTTATAGGTATACCTAAACAAATTTGGTTAGGAAATATTAGAAACACTACATGAAAAATGTTGAAAAACAGTGGAATTGCCGGTGAAAAACTTTCGTTGGAATTTCCGATGGATTTTTCGACAGATCACCTGAAATTCCCATCGATCAATTTGCAGGACTTTCCGGTGGGAAAAATCCGCCAGTTAATATGTGGAGTATTTTTTTTTTTTCTTCGCATTAGCTATTTGAAAATTTTATTTAATCACTAGCTGAAATTTATGCTAGACAATCCGCTGGAAAAGGCCATATTTTGTCCCATTCCGTCTTCCTCCATTTGCATGCACTTCGTCCCAAAACTAAGGGTTTCGTCTGCTCTGCCCACTGTAGCCAATCCAAGCCATTTTTTTTCCTATTTCTTCAATACTTAAAAGGTAAAACTAATCCTCTTTGTTCATTTTTATTTTTTGATATTTTTAATGGTTAGATTTCTCTATATTTGTCTAGTTCATATGAAATTTGGAACTTTCAAACATCCTCATAAATGACTTTAAGCTACATAGTAGTGCGTATCTCTTGAGTTTAATGTATAATTTCTCATTCCCTAATTTAGAAAATACTTGATATGGTTTCAAATGTATTGAAGAGAGCCGAGCAAGAGCTTGGTCGATCTTGTACTCACTCATAGAAGCAATGTTTGAGCTCAATATTAGTATATGTGATAATGTTCAATATTAGTTCATTTAAAATTTATGGTAATTTGAGTTTGGTTTAAGCTTGACTTATATTCAATTCAAATTATGATTAATAACCACCTAATTTTGGCAAATAAATGAGAATATTGAGCCAATTGATGAGCTATACTATCGAGCTATTTGTTGACTAATTAAAAGAGCCTCATTGTAGCTCTTTGAAGCATTAGCAAACTAACGAACATTTTAGGCTTTGTAATATTTTGCTAAATTAATGTGTAAGCTCTTATATGGGTTTTATCTTTTCAAAAACGGTGATGAATGGACGGCTGATGTTGGCGAGGCGTCATCGCAGCTGGACAATGAACAGAGAACCGAACGAAAGAAAATTAGAAGGAACGGGCCGAAATGTGGAAATAGGGCTCTTTCCGACGGACTTACCGACAGCTATTACGCCGGGTAGATATCCAACGACCTATACGCTGGTAATAAGTCGTTATGTTTAAATACGCCGGCGGAAAATACAATGGCGGAAACACGGGTAATTTCTGATGCATTCTACAATGGTATATCAACGCACTAGCGAATTAACCGGCGTTATATACGACAAAAACTTAACAGCGTACTATATGCCAGTAATTATACCGAAAGAATTCCAACGTAATATCTGCCGGTAAAACCGTTGCTTTAAGCTACATATACAGATCCGCCGGAACCTCCGCCAGAAACAAGCTCTTTTCCTGTAGTATATATATATAGATTTTGATTTTTTTGATGCTAAATAATTTTGTTGAAAAGGCCTAACCTATTTAAGGAGGGCTTGGGATATAAAAAAATCTTTTAACCCTCTTCCTTAAGTTCTTTTAGCTTAGAACTCACTTTATTTTTGCATACTTTCACTCTTTCTTATCTATAACACTTTTTCTCCCATCTCTCTCTTTTTTTTTTAATAAAAATTATATCATTGCATCCAAATTAGTTTTTCAAAATCAAATTAAAAACTTGACCCAAATGATTAAATTTTTAGACCTTAAGACCATAAAAAAGAGAATATGATCAAAGAACTATTTGAGTAAATAAAGACCAAATATAAAAATTGAACTAATAAATATAAAATACCCTAAACTATCTACAAATAATAAAAATCATATCACGCCTCATTTAAAGTCACATCACACCATTTAAAGAAGGTAGAAATATGGATATGAGGAATGTGAGCAATCTTGTGCCGATGGAACTTTTATTTGGTTCGGTTGACCGGATGCAAGAAACATCCCGTCGTAGGCAAAATACCGCCTATACCGAGGTGTACCGAGTTTTTTCAAAAAACTCGGTATTCCAAGGAGGAAGGCAGAGACTGTAAAGATTTGAGATATAACAATTGCAGCTCAGAAAGAGATGACCAAACTTTCAGAAACCACTGCTCCACCTCATTTGGAAATGAAACCAGCTCATCATTTAATGAAATACACAGCATTTTTAAGAAAGCGATGCTTCTCAATGGCTCCATTAGCATCACTGATGGATCACTTATGTAAAGAGTGCTGAGCATGAGATGGAAATTATTAGTGGTCTCCACTTCTCCATATCTTCCGAGAGAGATCAGATTGGGGCAATCTCTAATTGTCAAGTTTCTTAGTGCTACAAGTCAGAGGAAGAGATGTAATGTTAAGACAGTAAGAGATGAATGGGGTTTGAATTGCTACAAAAATTCGAAGTCGTCCACCCAATTTTATATATCTTCAAGCTCTTGAGCTTAGAAGGCAAAGAGGGCAACTCCTTCAACTTCTGGAAGTCAAATAGCAACAGTTCAATTAAGCAAGGAAACAAACATCCATCTTCAGCAGCTACTCTTATCTCAAACCAATCCTCTAATGCTTCTAATCCTCTAATGTGTAACACCTCTAGCAATGGAAAGGCACGGTATTTATCATTCCCATTAAATTTACTTTCGAGCCATTTTACTCTCGGCATGTTAGAAAGTGTCAGAGACTTGAGAAAGGGAAGTTGCCCAAAAGGTGGAAGAGTTTCACACTCCAAGAGCAATCTGTGAATTCTATTTTCTCTAGATTGAAGATTGGATTGACATTGTTCATCCATATTGCAGACCTTGCACCCATGTATCCATTTATGCTCAGATTCCTTAGACATTTTGGTGGCTGAATATTTTCGAGCACATTCTGATCTAAATCAATGTTCCTCAAATCAGTGTCACTCCAATGTTAGGTCAAATCTGTGAGCCTCCTCTTTTAACATAATTGGGCATTACGAGCCTCCTCCGCGTCCTTTACATTTTCAAGGCCGTTGACTCCTAATTGGCAAAGATCATTCAAATACTTCGACTCATCAATTCTATAACCCATCTCATTTCTATGATCAAACCTACCCAATTCTTGAAGAGAGTTTAGCTTCCCAATCCCACATATCGATGAAACATAATTCCTGAACAATTTCAGATAACGCAAGTTAGAAAGATTATTAACGTCACTTAGTAAAAAATCATCAACTTCAGGATGGCTTAGCGCTCATGGGTGATCATAGATTATGTATTGCAAGTGATAAAGATTACTTATAAATCTTGGCAACATAATAAACTTATGACTATAAATCTTCAAAAATCGAAGATGTATCAAATTTTCAATCTCCTCAGGTATTATTTACAAGTCTTTTGAAGGTCATATTTTTTTTTTTTTGAAGAAAGCAATAAATGCATTAAGAATAAAACAAAGAAGCTACAAGGATGATTACTCTTTCAAAACATTAACAAAAAAAGGAGGAATCTTATTACAGTTAAAATCTTCCCAAACAAAATTACTAACCTTAGCAAGATTAGCACAAAAATCCGCCAACATGTTGCAATCTCTCCTTACCCAATTAAAAATGATATGATTGAAATCCTTGAGGAATTCCAAATCTTCCGCTCCCTTGAAGTCAAGAAGCCAAGCTTTATGAATGACCTTAATCACATTTGCATTGTCTCCATCAATACAAATTCCTTTGTATTTAAACATCCAATCTTTGATAACTTCTTTTAGTGATATGATAGCTAGCAATTCCAGTTGTGAAATGTCCCAATGGATGCAAGATTTTCCAAAAGCCAATAAGAATCTTCCTTTACAGTCCCGGATCACTCCCCCAATGCCGGCAATATTTGAAGAATCAAGAGAAGCATCTATATTAATTTTTAACCATTCGGGTGAAGGGGGATACCAAGATTTCAACAGTCTAAAGGACTGATTAGCATCCCTTAATTCCGATTTTGAGTTAAAAATCAACTTAGAGAAAGATGAAGAGCTGACTGCAATTGTGGCTATATAAGTAGCACCTTGTATCACATTGTCATGAACAAGAGTGTTCCTAGCTTTCCAAGATAGATATAAGACATTATAAAATAAATTGACAATCATACCATTGTGATTTGTCATAGGTTCCATCCAAGAATAGCATTCTTCCAGGCTATTAAAATCTGGGATAAAAAAACCCCATTTGCTTAGCTGACTAATCACCTCTTTTATTTTTCTGCATTTAAAGATGACATGCTCCATATTCTCTATATCCTCCAAGCACCTTGGGCATACAACATTCTCTTGTTATCTTCTGTGTGATAAAAATTGTAAAGTAGGAATTGCATCTTTAAAAAGTCTCCAGCAAAATGTTTCCACCCGTGGATTTGCTCTTGCCTCTTTCAACCAATTCGGAAAACTGCAGTTTGAAACAGTAAGTTGATTGGATTCAGTAATTAAACCTGAGATGGTTTTTCCAGAAA